CGCACGCGTGCACGCGTGCGCAAGGACGCCGCCGGCCCCGTTCCAACCGAACCGATTGGAATGGGGCGAGAAACCCACCCCACTGAAGGCAGTGTAGTTCTAAGTTGTCTAAGCCCAAAATGCCAAGTCTGGTAGCATAAACTATTCTGTTGCGAGCAGTGGAGTGGAGGACTCTTCTCGTGAAATATTCTTAGCTCTGGTTATGCTTAGATTGTATTGTCTCCCAAACTATGGAACAGAAAAAACTTGAACTCCCAATGTCAACAGGAAGGAAGGAAGGAAGGAAGGAAGGAAGGAAGGAAGGAAGGAAGGAAGGAAGGAAGGAGGAAGGGCAATTATAATTCATCTTGAGACCTTCTTAAACAACTAGGGAAAACATTAGATTCCTAGCATCCTTCACCCCAAGAAAAGATAACTCTTTCTAAAAAGAATCAACAGCAAGGATGTTGTTCTTAGTCCCCTGACATGTGTCCTAATAAATATGGTGCAAACCTAGAGCAGAAAAAAAGGCTTGTTTGTAAGGCTCACTTACTGTTCCTTCTGCTTCAGCCAGCTGGCATGCCAGAAGGGAAAGCAGCTGCGAAAAGGAAGGTCTTTTTCTGGAATCCAAAGCCCAGCAGGAGCACAGTAATAAGTATCTGTAAAAACAAGATAAAAGAAGGGAGAGGAAAAACACAGAGCTATTTTCCCCAGTATTTTCCAACTGATAAGACCAAGGAAACACATATGTGTCACAGATATTGTGGTGTTATGCAGAGTTAAAAGAACCTAGAATATGAAGAACATCAATTACACATAGAATTGATAAATGTTTACAAATATGAGGCATCAAAAAGCAGAAAATTGAAAATTAATATTATGCTTTAAATTTTACAATGCTTATGATGCTAGAGCCTTCTGTAATCCAGCTGGGGATGGACTAGTATGACCTAATAATTGCATATAGTGATGGGGATTGAAATGGATCTGAGTAATATTTGAAGATGCATTTTTGATCGAAACGTATCTACAATCTTAAGCATTCCCTTTCTGATTGAATTGTCTTAGTTGTATCTTGCAAATATTTATGTCCTAAATCTATTTCTACAAACTATGTATTTTTTATCTTGTGTGGATGATGGTTTAAACGGAGTGGCAATCTCCAGTGGAGCCCTGTCATTTCAGAAATAATATTGTGGCACAGGTTTTTAAACATAATTGCTATACTAACATTGTCCCTTAACTAATGTAGGATGGCATGTTTTGTTTGCTACAAACAGATGCAAATATGGCCATGTTGCAAAGCACTTGAAGTTTGGTCACATGACCACAGAGAAACAACTATCAGAATTTCAAATCCAGGCCATAAGACCTCTTTTTTGAGTTGGTTATAAGTTGAAGACTTATCTATATTGTGGGAACAGAGAGCTGAGTCGAGGCAATGCAGGACTCTTGTGTAGAAGTACCCTTACAGAAAAATATAGTTTTCCACAAAACACCCCAAATCACCAAGGCCAAACACCTGTATCCTCTTTTAAAGGTGACTTTTCTTGGCCTATAGGACTATTGCACAATGGTGTCTAACTGTGTCCAAAAGTAGCCCAAGAAAGTCACAGATGACAGTATAGTTAGAAGCACAGAAATAATGTCTTCTTACATTATACTCCCACCCTAACCTTTATACCCAGAACATACATTTCTTCCGTAGCATAAAATGGACGGTCCATCTTAAATCCATTTTGAATAAGCTTGTAGAATTTCTCATTAACTTGCATTCCGGGGTAAGGATTGACACCTAAAGAAAAAAAGCAGCAAAGCAAAGAATTCATGTTTGAAGTAAGCTTCATTGGAGAAGTTTTCTTAATTTGCATAACCTTGTAGAGATGTCTGCAGGGTGTCAGGCCTGCATCCATGTTCCTTTTCGGATCTTTGGCCTGCCACACTTCTATTCTACTATGCGGTTCTATAGGGGGATTGGGAGGGGGGATAGAATGTTATGTAGGCAAAATAAGATTCCTTTCTAGATTGCCAAGGTCATCCTTTGTCTTGGTACCTCTGCACCTGACCGGAACTG